GGCTGATTTTTTGATTTATGGTAGAGATGAGGTCTTGCTGCCCAGGCGGGTCTCGAACCCGTGGGCTCAGGCAATCCACTCACCTCAGCCTCCCAAAGGCACAGGATTACAGGCTGAGCCACCGAGCCTGGCGGGTGTTCCATTTTCTAGGCACCGCCATGCGGTCGGCTATCTGGAAGCTCTTTTTTTTTTTTATGAGTTGGAGTCTCACTCTGTCGCCCAGACTGGAGTGCAGTGGCCGCTCCCATGACCTGCTGGGTGATCCTTCCGCCTCAGCCTTCCAAGTAGCTGGAACTATAGGCGCGCACTACCACGCTCGGCTAGTTTTTGATTTATTGTAGAGATGAGGTCTCGCCAAGCTGCGCAGGTGGGTCTCGAACCCGCAGGCTCAGACAATTCACTCACCTCGGCCTCCTAAAGCACGGGATTACAGGCTGAGCCACCGAGCCTGGCCTATTTGGAAGCTCTTAAACCCAGTTCCTTTGGGGTTTTATGGAGACTTCATTACGTGGGCATGATTGATTAAATGACTGGCCACACTGGTGATCAACTCAACCTTCAGCTCCTCTCCCCTCCCTGGCTGAAAGTTCCAACCCTCTAGTCCTGTTATGGTCTTTCTGGTGACCATGCCCCGTCCTGAAGCCACCTAGGGACCACAGCCACCAGTCACCTCATTAGCATACCAAAAACACTCTTACCACTCAGGAGTTTCCAAGGGTTTTAGAAGCTGTGTGCCAGGGACCAGGGACAGAGACCAAATATATATCTCTTAAATCACAGTATCACAGCATCTGGTAGAGATGGCCCATGGCAGTGCCTCCCAAACTTAATATGCATAAGGACCACCTGGGATCCTGTTAAAATGCAGATTCTGGCTGGGTAGTTGGGGTGGAGCCTGAGATGCTGATGCTACTGGTCAAGAACCCATATGTCCAATGGTAAGACTAGTCCTCCTGTGCAGTCTCTGTAGACTGATTCCAGGATTCTGAGACATAAGAACCAATTGGCAAATGTCGAAAATACTGAAGAAGACTTTCCAGGAGTTTTATTTTTTATAATGCTTCATCTGATCCTTTTTAAAGTACATGTGGCCATCGCTGTAGACTGGCTCTTCTTATTCCTACAGCCAATCCTCTTCTTTGTCTATCACAGAGGCCACTAAATCTCAAATGCTTTCTTTTTTTTTTTTCTTTTTCTTTTTTTGAGTCGGAGTCTCACTGTTATCCAGGCTGGAGTGCAGTGGCAGGCTCGCAGCCACCGCAGCCTCAACCTGCTGGACTCAGGCAATCCTTCTGTCTCAGACTTCCAAGTAGCTGGAAGCTGGAACTACATGTACCACCAAGCCCGGCTAATTTTTCTTGGTTTGTTGTAGAGACGAGGTCTCACCAAGTTGCCCAGGCTGGTCTCAAACTCCTGGGCTCAGACCATCCTCTTACCTCTGACTCCAAGTGCTGGGATTACAGGCATGAGCCACTGTGCCCAGCCTCAGATGCTCACTTTCTCAGCCTCCCTTGCTGCCCTGGATGAAATTTGTAACAGAGCTGGTGATGACATATGGTTAGTCCTTAAGTCCTACCTTAAATGCTAGAGGTGGCCCGAGCTTCGGAACTATTTTCAGCAGTTCAAAGGTGTCAGACCAGTGTCTTTGTGATTCTAAACTTATTGTGGCAATGACTGTGCAACTCTAAATCACTGAATTGTACTTTATGTAGGTGAATTGTATGGCATATAAATTATATATTGGGGGGGCATATAACATCAATAAGGGTACCTAATCCTAAACCAGGCAAGGTGAGGACCAATGGGAGACCCAAACTTCACCTGTACATAGACCACTTATGTACCTAATCCTGACTTGTACCCCACATCTTTAAAACAAAATATTAAAAATAAAAATAAATTATATCTTAATAAGCTTTTTTTTTTTTGAGTTGAAGTCTCGCTCTGTCACCCAGGTTGGGGTGCAGGGGCATTCTCACGGCCAATGCAACTTCAACCTGCTAGGGCTCAGGCAGTCCTTCCACCTCAGCCTTCCAAGTAGCTGGAACTACAGGCGTATACCACCACACCTGGATAATTTGTTTTTACTTTTTGTAGAGACGAGGTCTTGCCATGTTGCCTAGGCTGGTCCCGAACCCCAAGCTCAGGTAATCCTCTTGCCTCTGCCTCCCAAAGTACTGGGATTACAGGTGTGAGCCACCACACCTAGCAATAAGCTATTTTTAAAAATTAAATAAACATGTATTATGTTATGCTGAATTAAGGTTTAACATTTTTAATTATTGCATAATAATCTATCAAGAAACTATATTTCCACTTATTCAACTATTCTCTTATTGTTGGGTATTTGGGAGGTTCCATGTTTTAGTTACCATAAAAATTGCTACTGTATTTTTCTTGGCACTTATGTATCTTGATGCTTTTTTACCTAGAATTAACTCTTCCCAGAAGTAGCAATGTTGTGCCCAAGGGCAACATTGCTTGAGCATTTATTAAGTGCTACTATTTAAGTGAGGTGTGGGCCACACTAAGTACTTTATATGCATTATTTCTTTGAATTCTTTATCAAACCTTAAGATGTCTATTCTATCCCTATTTTCAGAAGTTCAAACTGAAGCTCTGGAGGGACAACAAACTTCCCTATGGTAACGGGGTCCATAAAGAAAGGAGCCAGATGCCCACGCAGCTCTGCCTGGTCTCGGAGGCCATGATCGTCACGTTCCCTCATCAGGCCTTCCTGTTTTAGAACCTTGCTAAGTTCCAAAGGCAAAAATGCAGTCGTGTTCTAAATTGTTTTCATGATGTTGGGCATTTCTTTGTGTTTGCTAGACCAGACATATGAGGGGGAAGCTAAAACGGAAATTATCTTTTGGGCGATGGGTCCCTTGTAGTACAGTCTTCACCCACTAGGTGTGTTCTAGGAACGCATTATCAGTGTACCAGCTAGTGTTGTTGTGAGAGCTTGTGTTCAACTTCAGCGAATCTTTTCTTGGAGATTCTTTCAACACATTTGCCCATTTCATGATAGGTGATTTACAAGCACACCTGCCCAGTTCACGTTGCACTGAGTGTCAGCAGTTTTTGAGCAAAATGGCACGACCCCCATTCCCCACCTTCCCTATTCGCCTGACCTCACCCCAGACAACTTTTTTTGTTTCCCCAGTGGAAAAAAGCCCTCAAAGGAAAATGTTTTATCAATGTGGAAGAGGTAAGACCAAAAAACGGCAGCGGCCCTAAAAACCATCAAAATGGACAAATTCAAAAATTGTTTTGGGCAGTGGAAAAAGTGTTTCAATGGGTGTATTACGTCAGAGAGTATTTTGAAGGTGACAAGTTTAAATCTGTAAGAATAAATACACAATTTTTTGTTTTGTTTTTGAGTTGGAGTCTCACTCTGTCACCCAGGCTGGAGTGCAGTGGCCGCTCCCGGCCACCGCAGCCTCGACCCGCTGGGCTCCGGTGAACCTTCCGCCTCAGCCTTCCGAGTAGCTGGAACTACAGGCATGCGCTACCACGCCCGGCTAACACAATTTTTTATAAATAAATTCTATTCTGGGGGGGTCTTCTTCATATTCCTCTTTTGTGAATTAGCTGGGTGGCCTTCCCCGCTGCTGACTGTATCATTGGAAGAGTGAATACAATGTGATGTGTGGCTTGGAGTTAAAAAGAAAATGCCAGACAGGGTTTCCTCTTTAGAAGTCTGCTCAAATGTGGAAACACCTTTAATGATAGCTGACATGACTTGGGGGATTTCCTAACCATTATGTTCTTAACACAGGGCCTGGTCCTCCCCCTGGCTCCTTTGGTCAAAGGTAAAGAGAAGGTCACCTCTGTGGGCTGGCCTTGTTCCTTCAGAACAGCTCTTTGGTTCTTTCCTGAAGCAGCAGGGTGCACTTGGGGCAATATGCTCTTCGCTTTGCTACTAAACTGCTTAATCAAACAGTGACTTCTTTTCCACAGTTACATAGATAAACACCACAATAATGAAGATGCCGAGCACAGCAAGCTTCAAGCCCACTGGGAAACCTTCTCCCGTCTTGTTTTCTACCCTCTGGTTTTCTGTGCAGCAGCCTTTCTTGTTGGTGCTAGTCCCGTATTTGATTCTGGCATTTGGTGCTCTTACACCACACCTGTGAAAACATTAGTGGCTTTTGGGATTGTGTGCAGCCATCACCTGGGCACCCCTTAAAGTGTGCAAGTCTTGAGGCCCAAGGGAACAGCCATGTCGGGGCTTGAGAGGCAACCCTACTCACAACCCATGCTCGTTTAACAGTGATATTAACAGGGTATGGGGGAGGGGGTAGGAGATCTGTAAAATCCCACAAAATTGGCCAGGCATGGCGGTTTATGCCTGTAATCCCAGCTACCCGGGAGGCTGAAGCTGAAGGATCACTTGAGCCCAGGACTTCGAGGCTACAGTGAGCTACGATTGTGCTACTGCACTCCAGCCTGGGTGACAGAGTGAGACCCTGCCTCTAAAAATAAAAAAAAAAGGCCAGGCATGGTGGCTCAGCCTGCAATCCCAGCACTTTGGGAGGCCAGGGTGAGGGGATTGCCTGAGCCTGGGGGTTCAAGATCAGCCTGGGCAACTTGGTGAGACCCCCATATCTACAATAAATCAAAAAATAAGCTGGGCGTGGTCACACACGCCTATAGTTCCAACTACCTGGAAGTTTGAGGCAGAAGGATCACCTAAGCCCAGCAGGTAGAGGCTGCAGTGGCCATGAGCATGCCAGTGCACTCCAGCCTGGGCGACAGAGTAAGACTCTAACTAAAAAATAAATAAATAAATAGATAGATAAAATGAAATCCCATAGAACATTTATTTATTGGTTTATCACCCATGTGTGTAACATTTCTCAGTGGTGACATAAAGTCTGACTCAATCTGGGATGGTGTAACAGATCCCAGGTCCTACCTAGGAAATAGTACAACTGGGTAGGAGTACCCAGGTCCCCTCCTTTCTGTCTCCACACTGCCTTTCAGGATGAAGATGGAAAGTGCTTTTGCAATCTGCTTATTTTTGTATTTAAAAGAGTAAGAGGTACTCTCTGAAATTTTTTAGTAAGAGCCTTATGTTTCCACTAGTCTAATCCCACAAAACCTGCTACAGTTCGTTCAGAAGTTAGGAAACTTTCCAGAAAGCTTTACTTTCTGACTAATAAAATGGCCTGTCTTGAGTTTTTATAAATACCTACTCTTTAAAAAAAAAAAATTGATACATAATAGACGTACATTTTTAAAAAAATTTAGTTGGGGTCTCACTCCGTTGCCCAGGCTGGAGTGCAGTGGCAGGATCCCAGCTTACCACAGCCTGAACATCCTGGGATCAAGTGATCCTCCTACCTCAGTCTCCTTAGTAACTAGGACTACAGGTGCATGCCACCATGCCTGGCTAATTTTTTTTTTCTTTGTAGAGGTGAGGTCTTGCTATGTTGCCCAGGCTAGTTTCGAACTCCTGGGCTCAAGCGATTCTTCCACCTTAGCCTCCCAAAGTGCTGGGAATACAGATATGAGCCACTGCACCTGGCCTAGATGTACATATTTCTGAAGTACATGTAATAGTTTGATATATTCATATAATGTGCAAAGATCTAATCAGGGCAAATAGTTATTTATGCTGGGTGTATTCTAATTATTCTCTTCTAGCTATTTTGAAATGTACAATAGATTATTGTTAACAATAGTCACCCTACTGACCTATTAAACACTAGGTCTTATTTCTCCTATCTAAGTATGTATTTGTATCTTTTTTTTTTTTTTTTTGTCTCTTGCTCATCTTCCAAGGCACCCATAGGAACAATGTTTCCAAATGGTTACAGTCAGAAAACGTGGGCTCTGGTCTCAGTCCATTATGACTTCTCTCCTCTCCTCAGCATCCCTCCCTCCACCCATTCTCCCAGGACTGTTTCCTTATCTCTAAATATGAACAACGACCTGGAGACTATGTAAGGCCCCTTCGACTTTAAAATTATTCAATATTACGAATCTTACGAATCTTTCTCCTTTCTCAATAGATTCTTTACAGGCTCAAACCTTCACAGACATCTGAATAATGAATTTCTTCCAGAGTTACAGAATACAATAGTATCAATTTCCTCATGTGCTAAAAAGAAGCATTACCTTCTTCCCTTGGATGGTTTAGAATCCAGGTGGTAGATACCAACAGTTTTCGGTTTAGTGGCACAGGCCTCAGGTCTCTGCCAAACAGAAAGAAAAAGTCAAGAGAAATTTGTTTCCAATGTCTTGTACAAAGAACCTTGGCTTTTATTCTAGAAAAGGTCACATAATCTGAGGATTAATAAAAGTTTTTGGCACATCAGGTAGTTTAATACTTCATGAAACAAACTTCAAGTTTGCCTTTACTCAGTAATTAGCAAAAGCTTCCAAGTTCCATGAAGTGATATTTGACTTCAGTGATACTTGACTTCAGTGACTCACACAAAGAACAATAGACACACAAGTGACTAGGGTCACATGGTGGGAGCAGCACTCTGTTCTGAAATATCACCTCTCTGTTTTGCTCTCTTATTTGTACTTTTTAAATTTCTTGCAGCTTTTTTATGAGCATGCATCATTTTTGTGCAAAGAGTAAGGTTATTTTTAAATAACAAATTGGTTATGAATGAGGACTAGAAAACAATTTAGGAACATGAAATGTTGCTTTGTAAGAGATATAGAAGTAGGGGCCATCATGAGGGACTCCTAGGAGTATGAAGACGGGGGTCAGATGACGTTACTAATTCTGTCTATCAAGCCCAGGCCTCACTCACCCATTAGCTCACTGAAGCTTTCTAGACCGCCCTACTCTTATGTGATAGACACTATTGTTCTATTTTTGAAATAAGTCTGAGGTACAGAAAGGTTAATGAACTTGTCTGAGGTCACACAGTATTGTTAATGGGAACTATAGGCTCAAACCACTACACTAGATTCTTCTCTACCCTTCAGTTTCTAGAAATAATTTCCCTCCTACAGGAAATCTTAATCACACTCACCTACTCAGATCATTCTTCTGTTCTATATTTCTTCAGCACCAATGTACACTTTTTGTACTATACTTTATTAACCTAAATTTCGATTTAGTAATTCATCAAACATTTGTTGTGTGCTGCTGAGTGCCACGTCCTAGGCCAGCTGTGAAGATTTCAGAAGGGACCAGCACACCACCCCGGCCCTAAACAGCTCACCATCGAGCGTGGTTATTTTTGTGTCCTGCCTGGGTTTCCTTCTTCTCTAATCAGACCATCTGCTGGATTTCACGAAGCTGTCTCTTATTTCTCTTTAATCAAGCTACAATATATAACATTTGGTTCCATCAATAACTCAGTATCTGCTTCCCTCCCAGAAACCCAGGATCCCTGAACTTGAGTGGTGCCTTCTGACACCTGCTGTGCTGCCAGAGGCCTTATGATAGGGCAGGCTGCAGGCAGTCAGGAACTGGAAAATTCCTAGAAGTGGGAGAGGGAGCTGGGATTCACGGCAGGCAGGGAAAGGACTGATGGACATCAGGACAGAACAAGAGTTAGAAGGTCAAAAGGAGAGTGCTGGCAGCAACCTGCTGGTAGACTGGACTAGGTGGGACAGGAGAGGGGCACTTGGGTGAGTTGCGGAGTTCTCAGGAGAAAGGAGAGCCTTGGTCTTAGCAAGGGTGTTGTCGGGACACCCCAACAGAGCACAGATTGCCAGTGAGTGCAGACTATGACCTACTGCAGGCCCGAGGTAGGATGTAGGGAGGGCACAGCCTGCTGTAACACCATGCACTGCTGGTTACCCTCTTCCCAGTATAGGCCACCAACGAGGGAATAGCCACAGCCTCCTGCCCTTCCCCAGTTCTCCTTGTCCCACCTTCTTTAAGATGTTCTCTATCCAAGCATGGCCTCTGCATATGCACATGCGAAATCATACGTGGCCGAAGAGCACCACATACCAGGGAGCACCTTCCCCACATAGACACCATAGATTTCCATGCCATTATCACAAGTTCCAGGAATAGGAAGGAAGGGTACTTGACAAAATCCCCAAAAAGGTGCCATGTGGGCTAGTGGTGGCCTGCTCACCAAGAGATATTTCAAACTGTTCCCAAGCATGTTGGAAAAGTCATTTATAAGCAATTTCTTTGAAAGAAACAAAACAAAAGGACGCTTTTTTATGTATGGAAAATTTTAAATGCACACAAAAAGAGACAGTAATACAACAAACCTCCGCAAACCCATCACATGCAACTTCTTTTTAATTTTCTTAAATTTAAAAATAGGTATGTTAAATAAAGTATTTGTGGTTAGAAGTCTGTTGCAAAATCAAATTATAGGATTTCACAGCTTTTAGGCAATCAAGTACTCCCCTCCTGCCTTAAGGAGATTTAGGCCTTTTATTTCCTTTTCTTCTATAATTTGTTTTCTTTTTTTTGAGTTGGAGTCTCACTCTGTCACCCAGACTGGAGTGCAGTGGCACGCTCCCGGCCACCACAGCCTTGACCTGCTGGGCTCCAATGATCCTTCCAAGTAGCCAGAATTACAGGCGCACGCTAGCACGCCCGGCTAATTTTTGATTTATTGTAGAGATGAGGTCTCGCCAAGTTGCCCAGGCAGGTCTCAAACCACGGGCTCAGGTAATCCACTCACCTTGGCCTCCCAAAGCGCGGGATTAGAGGCTGAGCCACCGAGCCCGGCCTATAATTTGTTTTCTTTGCTATCATTTATATTATAGTTCTCCTACAGTGTGTAGAAGGTGGACATTTGGAGTTCCAAAAATGGAGTAACTGCAACCATCAAGAAGAATAATTATTACAAAGACTACTACATAACAGGGAAAAGGGTTATTGATTCGTGTTAAGCTGTAAACAGTATAAAATTGTACATACACAGTGATGTCTACTGCATCAACATATACTAGATACTCAAAAATTAGAGGTAAATTGAAAAAATAAAATGTTCTTTTGTCGAGAGGTAAGGTTGTAGTTCATTTATAGTTCATCTTCTAAAAAACTCCTTTAATGCTGTTATAATATGATTTTCGCTATAAACAGCACTTACAATGGAACTAAGAAATATTGGTGTTCATTAAAACAATGGCTCAGTGAGGGTGAATGGCACCCAGGAGACATGTCACATCTATGCTCCTGTCTCCT